CCTTTCCCTTCGGAGAGTTTCTTACGCACTTCTCTCTATCGCGTATTAATTTCAATCGGTTGCCAATCTTTTCCCGATCTCTTATCCCGCGGCTATCGCGAAAGGTCACCCCGTATCTATACGGCGCATATACACGGCTTATTACGCATTTGTTATCCAAGTCTCGTTATTCTGGATTTCTTAAAGCTTGCAAGAATTTCGGAGCACCAGAGAGGTTTTGCAATTTTTCTTCCGAAATTTTTGTGAAATGTCTAATTATGGAATTATTTCCGAACCCCATCTCATCTCTTTGGGAGAGAAGATCGGTATCGAGAAAATATCGCATTTGTTATTCAAGTTTCTCGTCATTCATCATTCTGGATCTCTCGAAGCTCAGAAGAATTTCGGAGCACCAGAGATGTTTCGGAATTTTTTTCGAAATTTTTGTGAAATGCCTCATTATGGAATTATTTCCGAACCCCATCTCATCTCTTTGGGAGAGAAGATCGGTATCGAGAAAATATCGCATTTGTTAATCATCATTCTGGATCTCTCGAGGCTCAGAAGAATTTCGGAGCACTAGAGATGTTTCGCAATTTTTGTCGAAATTTTTGCGAAATGCCTAATTATGAAATTATTTCCGAATCTCATTTCTCTCTTTGAGAGAGAAGATCGAAAGATCGTCATCCCGGATCTCTCGAAGCTTGGAAGAATTTTGGAGCACTGGTGATGTTTTGCAATTTTCTTCGAAAATTTTTGCGAAATGTCTAATTATGGAATTATTTCCGAACCCCATCTCATCTCTTTGGGAGAGAAGATCGGTATCGAGAAAATATCGCATTTGTTATTCATCATTCTGGATCTCTCGAGGCTCAGAAGAATTTCGGAGCACCAAAGATGTTTCGCAATTTTTGTCGAAATTTTTGCGAAATGCCTAATTATGGAATTATTTCCGAATCTCATTTCTCTCTTTGAGAGAGAATATCGAAAGATCGTCATCCCGGATCTCTCGAAGCTTGGAAGAATTTTGGAGCACTGGTGATGTTTTGCAATTTTCTTCGAAAATTTTTGCGAAATGCCTAATTATGGAATTATTTCCGAACCCCATCTCATCTCTTTGGGAGAGAAGATCGGTATCGAGAAAATATCGCATTTGTTATTCATCATTCTGGATCTCTCGAGGCTCAGAAGAATTTCGGAGCACCAGAGATGTTTCGCAATTTTTGTCGAAGTTTTTGCGAAATGCCTAATTATGGAATTATTTCCGAACCTCATTTCTCTCTTTGAGAGAGAAGATCGAAAGATCGTCATCCCGGATCTCTCGAAGCTTGGAAGAATTTTGGAGCACTGGTGATGTTTTGCAATTTTCTTCGAAAATTTTTGCGAAATGCCTAATTATGGAATTATTTCCGAACCCCATCTCTCTTTGGGAGAGAAGATCGGAAGATCGCTATCGAGAAAATATCGCTCCGCGCAAGATAAATAGCGCGCGAGGTGGCTGGTACCTATACACAACACGGCCAATAACTTTCAATCGGCGCACCGTCCCTTAAATCGACCAACCGGAGATCGGGACGTTGTTATCGGCCCTTCTGCACCGAGCACCATTATAGCGAGAGATACCGTACGTACGCGTCGTTTAAGGGCCGCGAATCCGGAGCTGGTTCGGAAGGCAGTTTGGTACTTTACGAGAGAGAAGGAACGATCTTTCTCTCTTCCCTGGAGAATGTACAGGGTGTCCAAAATCGTTCACCGATTAAAGCTTATTTAGGTCAGACAAGCTAAATTTCTTTATTAAGGGGATGCCAAATATTTAACCCTTTATCATATATTCTATACAGAATAAAAATCCTTTACCAGAATTAAAGTATTCATAACAAATCTGGGCTATTATACGTGTATATAAGAAGAAACCAAGAAAGTTAAATAATTACATTTTTCTTATATTTTAAGCTATAGGTTGACCCAATCTTGTTCTTTTTTATATGTATATACGTAAGTACCCCAGATTTATTATTGTAAATATTTTAATTCTAATAAGAGATTTTTCATTCTGTATAACCAATAAGAAGTGAAATATTTAGCATCTAATAAACACAATTAAGACTTTTCTCACGCATTCTTGTTCAACATCCGCGATCGAAGGGGAACAACATCCCGTGTATAAATACATGTCTTTCATAAAGGAGAAGTAAGGGAGGGTAATCAGAGGCACTAAACTACGCGATACCGCGTTGGCAGCCCTATATCTCCTCCGTGTCGCCGATACATGCATATATATACAACAACACACGCGCACGTCCCGGTGTGTATTATTTGCGGGCTGCCACATATGTCGTAGGTGGTCCCCCTCTGTTCCCGTGACACGCAGTGGCGTCGCGTCGTCGTCGCACTGTATAAAGGACGATAACTACGTGCGGTTTCTCTCCTTCCGCCAGCCAGGACCGATCCGTCCTGGCGATATACCCAGTAGGCGTGCGAATTACCGCCGTCGTCGCCGCTCCGCTAATTAACAACGAAATTAACGACCGGGATATGGAACACGAGAGACGAGGATAATCAAAGTGACAGCCGGAAACGATATTCGATTTTCTCCAGATGTTGACAGATCTCGAGGACGGGTTGACACGCGGGGAGAGAACGATTAATAAAGATGCACGGGCACGCGTGTCACCGGATATAAGGTGCCCACACCGCCCCCATCATCGCGTTCTGGTGCTGGTATATATATATATATATATATATATATATATATATATATATATACATATGCGCGTGTGTGACGTCACACATGCAAGCCGCAGCACGCGCGGTTGGACGGACGGGCTAACGGATGGACGGACGGATCGACACACAGCACGCGCATGAATATGTAGGATGTCTGGAAAGAGAGAAAGAAAAAAAAAAGAAAGAAAGAAAAGACGCAGTGGGGGCGGCAACTCGGCGCGCATAGCAATCGGAGAGCCGCGTCATGCCAATATAACATCGCCTAATGTTCGATCGAGAAACCCGTGACGACGAGTTTTCCATAGCGGCGCCAAGAGGAAAGGAAGAGTGGAGAGGGATCGGTGATTTACAGGTTTGTTCGACGAAGGAGTCGAGAAAACGGACGAAGAAAGAGAGAGAGAGTACCCTGAAGATGAAGACGAAGAAGGGAAGATGTGCGTTCTAGGAGGGACGAGAGGGCACGCGCGAGTATAAACACAAAACACGACACACCGAGCGTTGAAATGAGTGTACGGGTGTAGGGTGGTGGGTAGAGATAGGTGGTTACACGCGCGAGGAGAGAAGAAGTTTACAATTTTCTGCACGACGGCCGCTCGATCGTTCAAATGCCAATAATGTTGCGGATGCCAATTGCCGATAATTCAAGGTGTACCTGCCCCAACGATAACGCAAGCGCGAGACCCGTCGCTGACAGATCGTTAGGATGGTACCGGATGATGGGTTCTCTGGGTTTTAACGCTAGGGAGACACGAGACATATATAAGAAAGAGCGAGAGAGAAGGAAGAAAAAGGGAAACAAAGAGGAACAACCGCAAAACCACCGTCTGCCGCTGAAAGCGTTTCGCTTTACGCGAAATCGACGAATGTGTACCAGCACGAGATATAGCAAAGCTATCCTCAGAATGTCTGAACCGTATTGCCTTCAAACTGCTGGTTCCTCGCTAGTCAAGTTGGGATTGTGATGTCAGAGGTGGGAAGCACAACACGCTTGAAATTTTTAGATACCATTTTTTTTAATAAAAAAGAGCTTTAGTACACTTTTAAAATACCTCGAAAACTATACTTTTCCTTTGACAATCAATCAACATAATCGTGACACCACATTTTGTCATGCGCATGTGCAAAGAGCAGACGTGAGCCTCATATTACAATCATTTCACAGCTGTTGATTGATTATAAAAGGAAAAGGATAGTTTTTCAAGTATTTTAAGAAAGTGCTAAAGGCATTTAAAGTGCTGAAGTGCTTTCATCGAAACCTCTTTTTAAGAATTTTCAGTGCTTTCTTGCCTCTCACGTCACAATCCAACATGACCGCGGTGAGGATCCAAGAATCTTAAAGGGAGAAAGAGAGATGTTACTCTTGACTCTTGGGAAACTATCGCCGAACGATAGGGCAGCGACGAGGCGAGATTTGACAAAGGAATCTGGAATATACGGCGCGACGCCGATAAGAGAACGATTTCCCTATCTCGATCGCGCAGGTGGCGCTGGTGATACGAGCTACGGTGAGAGTTATATCGGTTACGCGCATTCGCGACAGAATAAACATCGGTGTTAACGAGTCGGGGTATAACGTAATGCTATTTTTTTTCTTCTTTCTCATCCAAGAGACCGGGGTCTCTCACCTCTCTTTCTCTCTTTCTTCCCTTCGCGCTCCGACGTGCAATTAGATTAATTCCATTCCGCGCCCGACGTTGCAATTAATTCTTTATAATGACGGGCCGCGCGAGATTTTTCCCGCTTTCTTATTCCCAGAGTCAGTTTCCCCCCCGGGCGGAAAAGTCTTTTTCCCGCGCGAGAAACCACCGCGGCATTGTTTCCGCGTTACATATATTTTTAAAAAGGCCGAGACCTTTTCTAATCTTGCGCGCATCTTCAGCTTCGTCCTCGTATCCGGGAATAAAAAAAAAAAAAAAAAAATTTCCATATTAACGGCTCTCTAACCCCGATACGTTTTAAGTTAATAATATTTATTTAATCATATACCTACACATCGTTCACGTTTTGCGTCTTACACGTAAGATTGAATATTCAGTGATTCTATTAAAAGCGGCATAGTGGATTTCTAGTTCCGCAAATCCGTGAGAATTTTTATACCTCTTCTCGCCAAGAGAAGAAAAAAATAACGTTTCTTCTCTCCACAACTTATTAATATAATATACATTCAGAGATAATATTTGAAAAACAATCTAAACCGACTGTATATAATATATACATATATAAACGAGAGAGTCTCGGCGCGAGAAGGGAAAAAATATTATTTTCCATTGGCATGAACCAACACAGTTACTTACCGAGCATCTTGCTGAGATCGGCGTTGTGGAGATCCGGATTCTCGTCGGCCAGCTTCTTGCGCTCGACCTTTGCCCAGACCATGAACGCGTTCATCGGACGACGTATCCGTTGCTCCTTGAGACTCCTCTGGGCAGTGCCGCCAGGATGGCACATCTTCACTCCCGCAGGGATCGGCGAGATGCCGGGCTGGTATTCCAACGACGAACCGGAAGCCAGCCACGGCATGTCCTCCAGCCGCTGTTGCGCCGGACCGCTCAGCATGTTCGGGATCTGGAAAAGGGTATTCATGAGAAACGATGTATGTTGTGTACAATCTTGTTGTAAGCATATTTTCCGCGGAACGTTTATTGTAACCTGGTGAGATGATATTTTTCTTATTTTTTTTTTTACGATAGGTGACTGAAGATACGCGAGTACTGACTGAAGATACGCGAGTACGAGGAAAATACTTTACCGTCTCTCTCTTTCTCTCGCGAGAAAGAGGAATGCGAACAATAGATATTTATTTAGCTGTACTCCGATAACGTGTCGTTGAAGTACAAGCATGAGAGATTAATGAGTCGATCGGCGCGTGGCAATGTTACTATCGTACCTCCGCCATTGTTTCTCTCGCAGAAGGGAATTTTGACTTTATTCTCCCGCGTTCGTCCGGGAATAAAGAGTTCGTAACGCGAACGAATCGAATCGTGAATAAGGTGAGGAACGTAGGTGTATATTTACAACGCCGGAGTGCGCGTAAAAATGTATATAATATATATATACACAGAGTGTTTGACATAAGGTGTCACACCGAAAATATACAAGTAAATCTTGTTAGTTGGAGACAATTTTTCCTCGGCAAAAATATTGAGACATAATTTTCGAGTTACAAGCGATTGAAAATAAAGAATTTTTCGCAAACTAAGCCTTGTAGAAATAAAATCATAACAAAACCACATTCTCCAATTAATTTCAAGTAAAGTTTACTTTAATAAAATTTTAATTTAAGGTTTAGTTATAGATACATGATGGGAAAATTAAGAATATGCAAAAAATGATAGTCCCCCTCGACATTTTTTTAATGGAAAAATCGTCTCCAAATAACAAGATCTACTTGTATATTTTTGGCGTGACACTGTGTGTCACGTGTGTGAGATGATTCGCCTCTCTCGTACAAGCGATATTCGCAATTGGCGGAAATACCATACCGAGATGATTTGGGTATCGATGGGCATCGAACTGTCATTGCCGTCGATGCCGGAGTCGATGTCGTAGGTCCTCGACGTGGGAGTCGCGTAAAGCGAGGAATGGAGTGCCAAGAGTCCGGGCGAGCCGCCGTAACCGCTCACCGGGGGTGGCGGTGTCACCTCACTCCTGTCATAATTGTCCAGCATCCTGCGACAGAAAAATTAATAACACTCGAACTCTCAATTTTTAATATTTTTATTTTTAATAAAACTAAAGAAGCGTAAACGAAAAAATATCGCGATAATGACTTCGCCTTGATATTTTTTTCGCCTACAGATTTATTAAATTTGTTTTATTTATTTTAAATTTATTATTAACATTATAATAAGGAGTTTATTAAAATATAAATCTCCAGATTTCTTATTTATTATCTTATATAAGATAATATTCGAGATATTTATATATATATGTAATATATACATACATATGTACTTTGTATTATAAGCATATATATATATATATATATAAAACTTAATATAATATACATATATATGAAATGCTTATCGATTTTATTAACCAATCATGGAAAGTACGACGTAAATGTTAGCATCACGTGCTTGATTCTTCCGAGAAATAAACGGCGCTCGATTTCTTATTGAGGCCCGATAGGCACAGATGATCTCGGGCGAGTGACGCGAGAGATCGATTTCGTATCGCGGATTGCGCGATAGTAATTGACTTTGGCTGTGCATGATTTCTCTCTCTCTCTCTTTTCTCGAGGAAGAAGCAAACGAATCGGAGTGAAATCCCGTGGGTCGCTCTCGGCCGATTGATCTGTCAACCGCTCCGTTAGGAAAAAGAGTTGATCGACATGAATGAACCATTCAAGGCCACTTAATGGAATTCCCACGATTGTCCTTAAGGCATTATGCGACCGTGCGCCGAGTATAATGCTACGAACAGCTGTCTGTCGCGCGTGCGCGCGCGCGCGAGATGGGTTCGTGTGCTCGCACATACAGACAGACACGTCTATTTGGTCCTAGGCAAGCCGTGACGAAACATGTATATGTATATATATGCGCGCGCGCGAGTGTTCCATATAATGGCCATTGTTTCGTTCGGTTCGGGGACAAAAACGTACCGGCGGCATTTTCATTCAATAAACTTTGCCGCGTCGCGTTTTTGCCACCCTTTATACTACTTACGTAGCGAGAAATTAGCTCCGTCTCGCGCTGATAAAACCTCGCGCGCTCCTGTTTCGATATATCGATATGTGATGCCCGATACGAATCGCACGCACGACTCGACCGAGGCGAGAACGCGGTTTTATCGCGATCTTAAATGGAGTCAGATTGCACAATAGAGGACACATTTTTGTCAAAGTATTTTCAAAATTCGCTAGAATTTGGGAAATGTCAATTTATATCGATTAAAGTTGCTAGATACTCAAAGTACCGCAATCCATTAGAGCCAAAATGACGTCGGATAATGTAAAGAATAGACTTTTTTTACAATCTTTTTATCTCTGAATACCATTGTCTTTTTATAAGTTATAAACGTATTATTTTTAAATTAAAGTATTCTCTTAATTTTTATGTTCATTTGTCATCAAGTGTAATTATCAAAAAATATAATTCTAAATAAAAATGAAAATTTCTTTGTTATTTGTTATTATAAATTTTAAAAGAATTACCAACGAAATTCTAATTTAATATAAATAATGTTTTTAAAAATTAACTTTTGGTTTAACTTCAGTTAATTTAATCTTTACTTAACTTTAACTGAATTTTGTGTTCATGTAACTTTTATCTAGTGACTTTAATAACAATAAGTTGCAAATTCCACTATTATTGGCTGAAAATATAAAATCTGTTTCGGGTAAAGAAAGAACAATAGCAATAATAATGATAAATAAAAATGATGATGATAACGTAAGCGAAATATGCTCTTGAAACTCTCGGTGCTCCTCGCGAAGACGGTACTCTTCATCGCTGATTTAAAAAAAAAGAAAAAATTGGCGGAACCTCTCGAGGCGGATACCAGATACGATACAAAATTAAAAGCCGTTAAACCCGCGGCCAAGATTCCCCGGGTTTCGCCCGCGTCGGCGCAGCTGCACCACCCACGCATACGATAGATACGCCACTGCCTTCAGCATTGTTTCTTTAATGATTCATGTGGGGTGATTGCACCGCGAGAGTTGAAGGAAGCACACACGCGGGTCTCCGATCGCGAATGCAATGAGCACGCGTCGTTTCGAAAATATTAATTCGCCAGGAGTCATCGTCGGGCATTGATGCATCGCGTTCATAAGCATACGTAAGAACGCAAGCAAATTTTCCCGATGACAAATCTGCGGATTCGCATGAAATTAATCATCTCCTGGATGATTGGCGAATTTTTTAGGAAGAGGGGTTTTGGGGTAAAAACCCCTCTTTCGTATTAAAAAAAATCAGTTATGCCTGATTTCATGATTTAACGCCGTCTATTGAAGATTAAATGGAATTATCGAAGACAATTATAATTAAAATCAATTTTTTTAAGTATATAAACAATTTTTTTTAATTTTAAAAATAAAAGAAAATTAAAAAAAATATGTCCATGATCATTGCCGAATTTTTTAGGAAGAGAGGTTTTAGGGTGTTAAACAAAGTGATGCTGATTTCATGATTTAACGTCGTCTATTGAAGATTGATTCCGTTTAGATGAAACGAAACTCTCAAAGACAATTATAGATAAAATAAATTTTTAAAAATATGTAATCATTTTTTAAAAATTTAAAAAAAAAGATCTGAAGTCTCATGGCTATTGAGTAGAAGAAAAATATGAAACCATTATGTCTTTGAAGAAGACACGCTTCTCCGCCGAAAAATGTCAGTCTACATCGTAAAAAAAGGAGAAAAAAAATCGATGCCAAGATGCCGCGACGGTGACGAGACGTCGGCGCAAAGCGTGTCAAGGAAAAGCGGACAGTTATCCTTCCACACACCGAAACGCGTCGCCTGGCACGTTACAAATAAGCTCCTCTCCGCGGAGGAGCTGCCACAGGCCACGACCTACCGGAGCACAGACACGCTATATACACGCGGCTATGTACACGTCAGAGTCGGCCGAGCGAGGAGACAAAGAACAACAACGGAGCGGCGATCCTCTAAATCGGCACGTCCGTCCGTCCGTCCGTTTGTCCGTCGAGCCTCATGAATCTTCGCCGTCGGAGACGCTCTCCTTCGAGAGGAACGAAGGAAAACCGCCGTACGTTCGTCCTGCACGGTTCGTCGGCACGCAGGCCGGACCAGGCAACCGGAGCAGGCACTCTCTCGTCAACGTTTTTTTTTTTTAGTTGATTTTTAGACCGAGAATTAGCGTATCTCTCCTTTTTTGATCAAAGACATGATTCCAAAAATCACTCACATACTTGGATTTTTAGATGCTTAATCCTTCATCAGCAAACGTGAGTCTTTTAAGTTCACGCTATATTATTTTTATGTTCTAGACTTTAAAAAATTAAACAATTCTGAATTCGTTTTAGTTTTCGATCAAAGAAATGGTTTAAAAAATCGCTTACATACTTGGATAAATTATTATGCAATTTTTAGATCTTTAACCACCCTTCGTCAGCAAATGTGAGTCTTATAAGTTCACCCTATATTATTTTTATGTTCTAGACTTTCAAAAAGTCCAACAAAATTCTGCACCATTTGTCAATATCTCTATTACAATTTCCAATAGACTTGAAAGCCAAAATTAAATCCAATTGTTAATACAAAGCGACATTTAAACAGCAATTTGGGAAAAATGGAAAAAAGCTTGTGTCTTAAAAGACCCAGATTGTTGACGGAGGGTTAAATAAATTATTTCTTGGATAAATAATTCGTTTCCCTCCTTGGATAAATTATTTCTTCCCTCTTCGTTCCTTCAGATCGAGAAAAGGGGGAGAACATGGACCTGAATTTCTTAAAAAATCATGGAGCAAGAGGGAGTATTTGCTTCCCTTTTGGAATCGGTAAAAAAGGTTCACTCTCCTTTCGCATAATAAACACTGAGATTTATTTGCATATTTAATATAAAAATAAAAAACAAAAAAAATTGAATTATGCTCGTGGAAAAAATCCTGGGGTAGGAGAGGGATTGAATCGTCGAAGACAAGTACGGAGAAAGCTTTCGAAACGCGCGTCTCCGTGACGTCGTGGCGCATTTTATTCAAATAATCGCGCCGGATCGAACACACCCTTCGCATTGCTCGACGAGAGGCGAGACGCGGCGCATTCGCATAAAAGTGGCGAAACATACTCGCGCGTGCATACACGCGTATACATTATATTGTGCACGCGCGCGAGCGCGTGCAAGAGAACCATTACGTGCAACACGCGTATATCCCACGTGTGTGGGTGGAGAATCGATCTGTATTCGCGCCGATATGCGCGAAATGCGCCGATGCGGAGCCGATCGCGCCAATCATAAATAAATCACGACGGACGGGGAGACACTGTACCGTTACACGACCAAGGCGCGTGTTTATTAACGCGCATCGCGCATATTAACGAGCGATATTATTCTCGAAATTCAAGAAATCCGATATCCGATATATTGTATAATTATCCTCAGGGTGTCCAGCAGACTCGATGAAAAAAATACCCTGACTTTTTCACATTTTCCAAGACCAGAAATTCATTTTTTCCAAATATATAATTTGCATATATCTATATGATAAATCAATTAAATATTAAATCATGAAATCCTTGAGATATTTTTGTCAACAGTGAAATGATTCAGAAATTAAAGAAACAAAATTTTTAATCAATTATACAATCTGTATTATGTACGATAATCGAAACAAACTTGTCGCTAGAAACTATTTAAATAATCATCTTTTTTATTTACATTATATCAAGTTTTTTAGTTTTGTCTCTATCAAACACATTGAAATAAAATAACACGACGATGAGAATATAAATTAACGAACACGCTGTAGATGAATCGATTTTTAACAACACAGAAAAGTAGCGTGCTGGCAGTCACGGAAAAGTTTATATTTATTTAATAAAAAATTTCAATTATTGAAACGTATAGAATAATGTAAAAAAATCCAGATAAATAGTAAAATTTCTTGACTTTTCCCTGACAATACTCGGTTTCCCAGATTTCCCTGACCGCTAGACACCCTGATCCTGGTAAGAAAAAATTCGCTCGCGATCGAAGCCTGAAAA